CGTGAGTTCGACGATGGTACTTCTCAACCACAACGTCGTCACTTCTACCTTAGGTCGTCTTCGCTCTACGGAACCAGCCGCTATCATGCCCTGAGCCAACAACGAGGATTGAGCAAAAAAAAAATGTTGAAGTTCCGCCCGATATGGGACTTGAACCCATGACCCTCAGATTAAAAGTCTGATGCTCTACCGACTGAGCTAACCGGGCCGGACTTAACCTACCCAACCGTGCAGCGATGTGTGAGCTGCAAAATTAGTCAGTTTTGTCAGATTTCTGAATTGAGGTTCAATTCATATATCAGGTTTGTCTAACACGACTATGAAAAGTGAAAAGTAAGAACAGTTATTTTCAAAGGCAGTAAATTCCAATGCTTAAAACCTATCAATCTGGCAGTAGTGATTTTCAGGCTTACTTTGTTAGTTATGTTCCCAATGCGATCTGTTGTAAATGTGGGTGGATGAAGAAGAAAGCCTTATTTCACCACAGGTACATTCGTAATAAGGAGGAATAATAAATAAATAGACAGGTAAATAAGATATGATATCTTGGCGACACTATAACCGTTAGTCATTAATCGTAGGTAGTATCATGCAGTTAAATCTGTGACGAATGCCAAATCATGAAGCCACATACCATCCATTTCATTTAACCGGCCTCGTTAGCGCAGTTGGCAGCGCGTCAGTCTCATAGTCTAATTAGATATCTGAAGGTCGTGAGTTCGATCCTCACACGGGGCATTCATTTTTAAGTACCCTATCTAAGCAATTTTACGGGAGGCAGCGTGGCTTTGGTACAAAAAACTCTTAAAACAACCTCTTTACTTGTCTGGCTAGCAAGGACCAAAATGAATATTATTAAATTTAGTCTTTGTTAAAGTATTTTTGACCTCAATATCTTTTACCATAAACTTTTCTTTCTAAATCATATAAATATGTTTTACCAGTGACCCAACAAAATGGGGTTACTTCCGCCCGGAAGTGAAGAGTAAGCTCGACTATGGCTCTTGAAACCGCATAGGAGCGAATAGCATCTGTGCTATCTGTTTATAGTCAAATTTTTGCCGAGGCCAGTTTCAAAAGCTGTCCACAGCATCTGTCAATCTCTTTAGTCGGGTTTGCCTAACTTTCTTGAACTCTCCAAACCCCTCCTCGTGTTTAGATGACAGTATGTAAACACAGAAAAAAGGTTTTTACAGCTAAAATAAAATAGTGAAGCAGAAAAGCTTTAATGGCGACGTCATCTATGCGTCTGTCCTACAAAAGATGATAACCAAAGAGAGAGCCAATCAAAACGCATCGCTTGAGAGACTTTCTTCCGTGCTGTTTTGCCTTGTAAGTTTGTTTATGAATTTTCCTCGGGACGACGGTACTTCTTAACCACAACGTTGTCTGTTCTACCTTAGGTCGTCTTCGCTCTACGGAACCCAGCCGCTATCATGCCCTGAGCTAACAACGAGGATTGAACAAGAAAAAAATATGTTGACGTTCCGCCCGATATGGGACTTGAACCCATGACCCTCAGATTAAAAGTCTGATGCTCTACCGACTGAGCTAACCGGGCCGGACTTGACTTAATCATACCTAATAAGTATTGAATGAGATTTTGCTCGCAACGACTATGCCCAGTCTAAATATGGATTTAAAAAAGGACACATGAATGGAATCTTTATACTCCCTTCTCGATGCACAACCGTGCAGCGATGTGTGAGCTACGAAATCAGATTTCTAAATTGAGGTTCGACTCATATATCATGTTTGTCTAACACGACTATGAAAAGTGAAAAGTAAGAACAGTTATTTTCAAAGGCAGTAAATTCCAATGCTTGAATCCTACCAATCTGACAGTAGTGATTTTCAGGCTTTCTTCGTTAGCTTTGTTCATGTCCACAATGCGATCTGTTGTAAATGTGGGTGGATGGAGAAGAAAGCCTTATTTCACCATAGATACATTCGTAATAAGTAGAAATAACAAATAAATACACAGGTAAATAAGATATAATATCATGGCGACACTATAACTGTTAGTCATTCATCAGTTAAATCTGTGGTAAATGCAAAATCAATTAACCAGTCTCGTTAGCGCAGTAGGCAGCGCGTCAGTCTCATAGTCTAATTAGATATCTGAAGGTCGTGAGTTCGATCCTCACACGGGGCATTCATTTTTAAGTACCCTATCTAAGCGATTTTACGGGAGGCAGCGTGGCTTTGGTACAAAAAACTCTTAAAACAACGTCTTTACTTGTCTGGCTATTAAATTTAGTCTTTATTAAAGTATTTTTGACATAATATCTTTCACCATAAACTTTTCTTTCTAAATCATATTAATATGTTTAACCAGTGACCCAACAAAATGGGGTTATTTCCGCCCGGAAGTGAAAAGTAAGCTCGGCTCTTGAAACTGCATAAGAACGAATAGCATCTGTGCTATCTGTTTATAGTCAATTTTTGCCGAGGCCGGTTTCAAAAGCTGTCCACAGCATCTGTCAATCTCTTTATTCGGGTTGCTTAACTCTCTCGAACTCTCCCAACCCCTCCTCGTGTTAAGATGAGAGTATGTAAACACAGAAAAAAGGTTTTTACAGCTAAAATAAAATAATGAAGCAGAAAAGTTTTAATGGCGACGTTATCTATGCGTCTGTCCTACAAAAGATGATAACCAAAGAGAGAGCCAATCAAAACGCATCGCATCGAGAGACTTTCTTCCGTGCTGTTTTGTCTTGTAAGTTTGTTTATGAATTTTCCTCGGGACGACGGTACTTCTTAACCACAACGTCGTCTGTTCTACCTTAGGTCGTCTTCGCTCTACGGAACCCAGCCGCTATCATGCCCTGAGCCAACAACGAGGATTGAGCAAGAAAAAAGAATGTTGACGTTCCGCCCGATATGGGACTTGAACCCATGACCCTCAGATTAAAAGTCTGATGCTCTACCGACTGAGCTAACCAGGCGACTCATATGTGTTACTTCTTTGTGACGTCTGCTCAAAAGCCTGATTCAAGATTAGTCATATTCCAGCTACCCCAACTCTCTACAAGAACTTTTTTGAGAACTCAGTTACAGAGTATAAGTTGCTGTGGTCGGACCTTGACCACGGATCATAAAGTACGATCAACAGGCAAATTCTTAGCGGTGTAAACTGAGGCAAGACCACTATACGAGAAATACAAGGCCGCCTCATAACTCTGGTCCTCATCTAACTGGTTTGACATTATTTCATGCTTATATTAGGAGAAAATTTATAGCAAATTAATAACCTCTGCCTGGCTATATCTTATAAAGAAATACGGTTTTATCTACCACAGGTCAATAAAATATTTGCTTTGCATGCTTGTAAATAATGCTGCGGTCATGTTGAGGGATACCCGCGGATTCTCTACATCATTTCCGTCTTGAAAAATCTATATTGAGGCTATGATGCGTCGAGAAAACTTTACATCAGGATTAACATTTTTCTCTGTGACGGTTTTTCTTATCACAGCAGGTGTGGTCCGTTAGCTCAGTGGGCAGAGCGCGGTGCTGATAACGCCGAGGTCGTGAGTTCAAGCCTCACACGGACCATTTACGCATCCTTTTATCACATGTGAATCTGACTTATTTTTTGTTGAAGTTTAGCCCTCTGACATACGACATCAGTTTTCTGCGACCTTATCTAAAGGAAACCTCGAATTTACATGTGCAGGGCATTGCAGCAACACCTTCGCGACGTAGAATGAAATGACAAGGACGCATCCAAACCAGTCGCTAGACACTTTAATCTTCCTAATCATTCTAAACAGCATATGGCAGTTTGCGGCCGTAAAACACTAGAACAAAAATTTATCTTCCAAATCGGCACGCTTAATCCCCACGGAATCAATGAGCGCTTTTCATTCAACTAATTTATTCCTGTTTTCTCGTCACTATATTCCCACCAAAGACGCAGCTCCACTTTCTGCATATAAACCCACACACAACCTACAATTCCTCCAATCGCTCTGACGAAGGGCTAACGCTCGAAACGTCAGCTTTTTACTCTTTACGGTGGCTAATTTACGTTTTCAACCCTGTTGTTAACACTAAATTATAATGTATTATTTGCCTCTCTAAGGTAAGGTAGGATCAGGATAATGAACTTTTCCTTTTTTGATGTTTTTTTCAATTTATCAGTAACCCTAAATTAATAATAACTTTTTCCTGGTCCTGCAGACCACAAGCTGTTTCGAAACACTTGCTAAGAGTGATAACCGTGATAAGGATCAATCGGGCAGTTTTCTTGTTACAGTCTGCTGCCAAACGAGCCCTTTGGAGACCACAACTAAGTTTTATTTAGATATTAGGTCTCTTCAGTCAGAGGTTCCATTTAAAATGCTAGAATGACTTTTAATACTCCGACGATCGTACCATGGTGCGACTTTGCAGAAGTTTGTTAAAAACAAAACTCTGCCCCGTGTGAGGATCGAACTCACGACCTTCAGATTTCTAAATCGTATTATGAGACTGACGCGCTGCCTTCTGCGCTAACGAGGCACCTCAATTAGACGAGGTGGTGAGGTAAAATAAATTATAAAAATTAACGCTCACGATGCCTATTTTAATATACAAATCCGCTCATCGATAAGATTTGATATTATAGTTCGCGAAAAGCTTTTTTGACAACCATTTAATCAAGCTCCCCCATTGAAATTGGTAGAATATTTTGAGACGATAATGGAATGATGGCATCACTAAGATAATTGTGACTGTTAGTATTGTTATGATTATCATCATAATTATTTTTTTTTTATTAAATCATTCCAACAATCAATGAAAAATGTAAAATAAAGACTGTTGTTTTTCAGACTGGGTGAGCTTTTATTCGCGGACGGACGATGTCAAATCGACTAAATTAGGCGTGCGGTAATGGCTGGCTAGTCAGAAAGCGCTGAATGGATTGTTTACAATGGAGGCGGCAACTGTTAATCTTTTTTGCCGGTAAAAAGCAATCATAGCTCGAAAGGAAGAATTATTGAACTTAATCCTTCTCTGTTAGAAACAACCAAGTGCCTCATTTGAATACTAGGCGTAATTTAATTTCGATTTAAAGAAGCTTCTAGGCGTGCTTAAAGCCACAAGTTTAGTAACACTGTAAGCCCACCTGGTGTGTTTTTAATAAAAAACTGACAAACTGTCTCGTTGCTGACGGAAAAAAGCCGCTCTTTTCAACCAAAGCTGCCTATTTGTCCTATCACCAGAGCGCTTCTCTGATTGGTTGTCGAAGAAATATTAACATCACTTGAACATGAGATAATCTTACTTTCAATTGAGCATCTTTTAATTTTATCCATGTATTCAAGTCCTTAGGATCTTCGATCAGTCGTCCTGTGTTTCGATGACAGACCAAATTTGGATAGCAAGGAGCTTCAGAGAAAGAATCATTAAGTTAGGAAAAACAATCTTTGAAATAGTCGTAAAATAGTAAAAGGTAGGGCAAGATTTCCGCTCGGCCCTATACCTCATTATGCATACAGTGTTGGATAGATTACCTTATTTGGGATTACGGCTCTTCTTAGGATATATATAGTATGGGGTAACACGGAAATCTACTCAAAGGCAATGCTTTTTAATGGCAAACAGACATAACTAAGAATTCCTTGGATCAATTTTCTTGTATCGACCTAACTATCAAGCAAACGTCTTTCATCCTTTGTGTCAGTCTATTTCCTCTTGTCTCATTAAACCTGAACGAAACTAAAATCACCTTTAGACAAATATATTCACGAGCGATCGGCTTGTTAATAAAGGCGGCTCTTTTAGTTATCTTTTGATGTTTATTCATAAATCTCATCTTACATGCATGACAATGGAATGATTTTACTTTAAATTTCTGCTTACCTCTGAAGATCACGCTGAATAAAACCCCGTTTTCATTGCATTATTTCCCTTCCCTTTGCGACAGGATGTTTTAGTGTCATAGAGAAACATAAGCGAGGAAAAGTCTATTTTGGAATTATATCAGCTGGCGACGTTTTGCCTGTACGTGCGCCTCGGACATGATATATTTTCAAAACATGAAAACGTGCCCTCAGTGCCGTCTTAAATAGGATGATGAATTTGCATGTTTCAGGTTTTCTCCTTTTTTCGCCCATTGAAATACTAATACTTTTAAGAACTCCTGATGTATTTTGAGCGTGAATAGAAGTATACTTTGTGCCGCGCAAACAAAATAAATAAGAAGCGGAAATGTCTTTTTTACGAGTCGAATATGAGACGGTTATTAACTTCAGATGAGTGAAAAAGAAAAATCTCATAAAATAAGTATTACAATGGAGGCCTCCAAGTTATGCAGTTTAGCATGTTTTTAATGTCAAGTGACAACTCAATATTTTGTTTCTCCGTACAGGATAGATTCTTTGAAAAAGTACTCGGTGCGTTTTTAACAGAAATCATTATATTTATACAAGGAACCTCTTTTAGCTTCCCTATTTACAAACATCATCGAGATACTCCAATTAGTTGCATTTTCTTTTTCTCTAATGAGAGTGATACACAAAATGCTTCAAAATACAAATAGCTTTTACTCAGATACGTTCACTACCAACAACTGATTCTACTCTGATGCATCTAGATGCAAACTCGCTAAATGTACCGAAAACCCGCGCATTTAAGTGGTTTCGGTATAAACAGCTTTTCGATTATTCGTCAGAGAACAATAGTACCTTAAAATCTCTTGTTTAAAACTCGAAGAAATTGTCTTTGATAATGCAAATTGTCAGAGGAGTCACAGACTGCTTTCTTTCTGAGTTTATGACTCATGATTCCTCGGTTTGTTAGATCACCAAGCCCACACTTGCGTGAACGAAGCTCTTGTGAACTATTACCCGTCTTTGCGAGATTCTGCGTAATTGTTTCCGTTGAAAAGCCCGGCATTTCCTCACCGAAGGCAAACGCATTCTTAGGTTTCGGGGAATCGGGACTTTCCTTTAAATCGTTCCCTCCCAGAATGTTTCGCCCAAAATTAGGAATGCTTCTACTTCTTTTCATCCCGTCGTCCGCTTGGTAGAGCGCATTAAGGGTGCTATCAGATCCAAACATGGCACTATTTCTTGTCAATCTGCTAAATAAACCTTTGCCAGATGATTTCGGTCTCTGTTTCTGCTCATTTTCCGTTGTGAGGTTGTAGCTGTAATGTACAATTCGGTTTTCCCCATCACCAACCTGATTATCCATTTCAAGTGTCCTTCAAGTCCTCTCTAAGTTTCGCTTAACAAACGTAACTGGATTCTAATATGCGATTCTGGTTCAATACGGTTTCTCCAATCGAAAACAAACTGACCCGGCTTCTCCTCGAGACTACTTCGGTAAAAGTCAGTTAAATCACTGAGTAATCATCCCTTCTGCGTCAACGATACATTTGTTTGGACCACGCTTGAAAAAATAGTGGTAAAGCTATCACCTCATCTCTAGGAAATAGATTCAAATCATATTCATTACGAATCGAACTAGCCTATTTCAAACTTGCTTGCGTCATCACGGTTGTTATTATAACTTACTTAAACGCGTATGTCATTAAACCACTCGTTTGCCTCAATTTTGCATTTCGGGCTCTCAGTATTTAGATATTTAAAAGAAAATGGATTATCTCCTATTATCGTAATGGACTGATTCCAAGACACTCTTTGTATTTAGTCATAAATGTGTCGTGAAACCGATCGCAAATAGGAAATATTATTGTCTTGTACCATTCGCACGCACTTGTATTCGAGAAGTCCTCAGTAAATGTATATTGCGCGATGGATCTTAATTTTACTCCTACGATTATCGTTAATAAATGATGCAGTTTTAATGCATTGGTTAACCATTAGATAATAGTAATACTAAGACGTCAATCTGTAAATAAAACTGCGTTTTCTCATGCAATTCTCAAACCCTCGCAATTCTTCACGATTCGTCTTCATCGCTCGTAATACATCGACAAAACATTAATTTGAATAACAAAAGTGGAGAAAGTGGTGCAAAACAAAGTTAATGGTATTTCTCAAGCGGGACTGGGGAATTTGCTCCTTGTTTTTAGTGATCATCACCATTAAATTCGTAACCATGGAGTAAAATTCTACACATTTTGATCCAAATCTTTGGCGTAACCTCACAAAGGATGCTATTAAAAGGTAACAGAGATGCATGTTTGGTTTGTTCGCGCATAAAATCAAAACAGCAAATAAACCATGACGCTTCTGGAAATAGTATATTCCTCCGCATAGTTAAAAATGGTTTACGGATTAACTGAACACTGCATTAGAAAGAGTTCTAACCACGAAAGAGACAGTATGAGAGATTTTAGTTGGGGTCGTGCTTGTCTTGGTGGAAGATATCGATGTTATCCCCCGCCATCCCCACCTTTGAAAACACTCTCACGCCTCTGCCAAGTTTGACAACAAGTTAATCTTTACCCTTTCGTTAATCTTTACCCTGAACGAATTTTTTTGAGCTATTAACTGCCGTTAAAGCCTCTAATGAGCGATCTTCGAAATTAAAAGTGGAGAAGTCCATTTTCATCGGAAGTGAAATACTTTGTCCTCTATATTGGGCTGTTATCATTACAGGTAGTTTACACTGATGGAAATGCCTTTGGGGGAGTGAGTCTATTTTGGTGAAGGTGATGCCTTAGTGAAATTTCCGCATGATTGTTTGCAAGAGAATTGTTTGATACTTCAAATACATCCACTCTAATTCCCTTTAGGCCACTATGCCCCAGTCTCCCAGTGTATTGGATGATCCCACCAAATTGCCTAAAGAGTCAAATAAACTTCACAGAAAATAAAACATTTATGATTTCTCCAGCTCATGTACTCAAATTAAGTATCTGAATTTATTCTTATCCCAAAGAAACCCAAATAATGTGGGAGAGAAATGATGAGAGATATTATCAGTGTCTTGTCACCAACTAAAATTGTGAATTCTAAATAGATTTCTCTACACTTAGTGGGGAAGTTACATGTGGGATCAAATTTTCAAATAACATTTAAGTAATTATGCAGTTTATTTTCAGTTACAAAAATAATCCCAAAATGCATAACCTCAGTGCTTAGGTACAGGAAAGACAAAAGAAACTAATTTAAAAAATTTGAGCAACTGGGAAAAACATCTAACTTGGAGATACATTGATGCATCAGCTGAAATTATATTCATCAAATTAATCACATTTATTGCAAATATTTTATGTCTTCAATGAAAATCATAACCAAACTACATGACAATACTTACTCAAAAAGCCCCATGGAAAAAAAATTAGAGTCACTGTTCAAATCTAATTATGTGCATACATTTAAAAGTGCAAAGCTTTGAAAACATACTGTTTCGACTATGGTTATTGAAGCTACAGTATTTGTATTTGTTTATGGTGTACATTGAGTTCTTTTACGATCTTCATCTGCTGCCTAGTAATCCCAACTTATTCCTCATTTTTCTGGCTCATCTACCCCAGCTTGGTTCATCAGGTCTCCAATGTTCTTCTCCAAATCATCGATTCGTGTACTCATGTCGTCAAGTAACCTTAGTCAAGGAAAAACAACTGAAACTTTGTGAAATCTTCTATTCTCACCAAATAATTCCCCTCAGGCAGCTACCTATTTATTCTTACCAACTAATTGGGGGAATTAGGAAAAATATCATTATCTGGCCAATTTGTGGGTGTCTTCTTATTAGTCTTGTTTGCTTGCTAATGTATTGACTTTGTTGCACTATACAAAGGAATACTTGAATATTATGGATGATTTGATGTTTAAGTTGAAAAAGAGAGGCTATTCCCACCATTAACATATTTTGAACATATAAAGTTTTTCTCCATGCACTGAATGTCATCTTCTCAAGCACCAGAGTAAACCTTTTAACCCTCAAAAGTGATTCACAGGTATTCACATATCATCCGGCAACAGGTAATGAGAATGATGCTCAAACTTATAAGGTACAGGTTGATATCTTGATCTAACACCAAATTCCCGTAACTCATTTACAAGGAAATATGTAGCTGCTAGAGGGAAGAATTAACAATCTGATCTTGGGAGTTAAAGGGTTAACTAGAAACGAGATGTTAATGATGCAACCAGTTTAATGAAAACAGGGGATTGTAAAACAGGCTTAAATTTAACTTATCTTCAGCTACTATCAACGCTGAAAACAGAGACTAAGTCAGTTTTTCAGTTGGTTCATTACTGAACCATCCCTTAAATGAATACAACACCATAGGTCACTCTCTGGCCCAAGGCTTAACTCGTATGGTGATTAACAGTGTAACAATATAAGATCCAGCTTGACAGTTCAATAAGAGTACAAATAACCAATTACACAGTGCACTGTAGAGGAATGTGACAGAGGTTTGTACTCAAAATATATTTTTTTATAGAAGCCATTGCGATGCAGCTTTACGCCCTCATGAGACATTGACCGGTTTGGTAATAGAATAACAAATTTTCACAACATTCCAGAATCACCCATAAATATCCAATGGACCTTCCACATAAACAACGGGCCTTTTTCCCATTTTCGGATTTAAAAAAATATTTAAATAATAGGAGAGAGGTGCGTTTAGATATAAGACAGACCCTGTGTAATTTACCGGCAGAATAATAAGACAATTTGCCGATGTCAATTACGTTTGGACATTTCTTCGTTGATAGCATATTAAAATTACAGTCGATAGATGTATTGCTTAAATGTCAAATGTCGTCAACTTGCAGCAGTGAAATAACCTGAGAGTGTATACACCGATAATAAACTCTAGTAAAGGATATTTCTTGTGATGATCTGGTCTGACATCTGCTGAAACTTGTCTTGCTATGAATTAGAAACAACAAGTTTTACAACATACAATTTACAGAAGCAGACATTTCGAAACCAAAATAAAAGCTAGTAACTGGATGAGCACTAAAAACTTACACATACTTACCATTTGTTGAAGCAAGGTTTGTACCTATAAATGAAGGAAAAAGAAACAAGAAAGACAAGAAAGCAACAAGTACATTGTCGTTTAAATCCAATGATAAAATTAATACATATCACAATCGTGAAAAATCGGGAATTGCAATAGGAAGTATGTCGCTAAAAAATGATCATAACCACAAACGACGAATAAAGACAAGAACACACAAAACTAGAGATTGTTTAAAAGTAGAATATGCCGAATGGTACAAATCCAGTCAAATCTTGAACACTTTGTGGGTCAGTATCTTCAATTTTCACCTTCGTCTCAGTATCAGCCATGTTTAAACGATGTTCGACGCTTTCTGAGAAAGACGCCTCGCCAAGCGGAAATTGTACCTAAGAACCAGGCCTCCCTCTTAACTTTATTAACGAAACAAACATGGCGGCAAAATCTGAAGAAAGCGTAGTTTGAGATTATGTCGCAGCATGAAAAGCACCTTAGTGCGTATTTGAAATCCAAACGTTCTGGATCAACATCTTCAGGTGCTGCAAAAGATAGGTATGCCTTGGATTTCAAAAAGTAACGATTAAGAGTTCTTTGCGTCAGTTACTCTGTAGTCTGAACGTTACCCGAGCAACGACGTGATAAAGTATGCACCTAAACTTTTTCTTCAAGGCCAATAAGGCATTAACCTGCAGAAAAAACCCGCTCCTCATTTGAACCCTATCGAATGAACGACGATCACTTTTTATTGATTCTTCTCACTGCACACTGGTCCAGTCGTCAATTTAAAATGCACAGGGTTAACTTAGGGCTGAAAAATTTGTGAACTATTTCAAATCTTTAGCCTGGAACGATAAAATTGAGCGCTCTCACCTCTATTCCATGATTCCTCCCTCCTCCTTAGATTTACAGAAGAGAAAAGGGGTGAAGGGGTGAGCTGTCAATAAAGTCATGATCTTGGTTGAAGGATGCAGGATAGCTTCTTAGTCACAGTACACGGTTTAATTCATAGAAGTTTCACTAAAAGCTTGTTACTAGCAGTCCACCACCGCCCATAAAACCTCTTACCATCATCTGTTTAGCCTCCAAGTGGGCTCTCATTCTTGGGTAAAGGGGGTAAGTTTCTAAAGAAACTGTTTTGCTGCACAAGTTGGAGAGTATGACAAGGTTATTTGTATTACCATATTTGTTAAGAGTTTCAAAGCTGTCATTTTGAGCCTGAGCCCTTCATCAGAGCAAAACTCTGACATGGGCCAACGCTCGCAATCATCAAAACCTCAGCTTTGAAACTCTTAACTTACAAATATCAACTCATTGGATTATACCAAATGATCTCCTGCATGGGTTTTGCTTTGTGGCCCCTTTTCAGTTTGGTCACCGAGTACATCTAATGCATTGGCATATGGAAAAAGTTATCAGAACCCCTTGTATAATTTACCCTCTGTCCCAACTGGTATGTACCTTTGCAAATTCCAGTTGTGATGGGTTACCAGAGAAGAATATAATCAGTTATTAAGTTCATCTTATGTTGGAACATGGCTGTACAAGTCATCCTTCCCTACAATTAGCGAAACTAATGAGATGAAAATTCTATTACCCTCTCATCTTATTAATCTCAAATATTGTGTTTGATGAATTCAATATTAAGTTAATTCGTAGAATGTTTAAAAAAAGTTGGGTGTATTCTTATACACTGGAACCTTGATTATCCAGACTCATTGGGAGTTGACAAAATTGTCCAAATATTCGAGGGTCTGGATAATCAAGAATATGAATATTAATAAGGATCAAAAACTGATTAAATTAAGAAAGCAACATTTAATCATGAAACAAAACATTTACAAGTCATTTTGAAAGAAATATGGTCTACCTCTACAGGTGTGTATTAACAATTAAAATTAATGAAAAATGTTTTTTCATTGACCTTAAAATGTTGAAGTAAGTCAGTTTGTCTTAAAGAAGAACATCTTGAAATCAGCGTGAAATCTCACTTACCAACAAGCAACTCTAAGCCAATCAGACCTCATTCGAATGTTCTTCATTAGTTATAATGCATATGAGTTCTGCTTTTGCTTTTTAAAAGCAAAACAAACTTGCCTTTACTTCACTTTTCAGTGCTGTAGTTTTAAAAAGAATATGGCAATGGATATTGATCATGACTAATAAATATTCATGACAAAATTGGGAGTAGAGAAAAAGTCTGGATAATCAAGGTCCGATTGTATACTGCACAATGATGTATAAATTTATTCTGATTTTGTAGGAATGCCCACACTGGAAAAAAACCATTAGCAAAGCAATTAGGAAAATCACAGCCATCTGCTGATTTGAAACTGAAGAGAGGATTGGACCTTACCAGGTTTCTTCTTTATATAATTAATCTTTACAACACAAGAAGCTCACTGACAGTTACAGTGTCAAATTGAAGTTGCTGATTCCACAACTGTTCACTCATTTGTTTCTAAGGATTCCAGAGGAAGTCATCTTAAAGATATTCAAATACTTGAGTCCCTCTGAACTGCTGGTGTGTGCTCAGGTGTGTCACAAATGGTCTGCAGTTTCACAAGACAGGTATGTTTGCACATGGACAAGTGAGTTATCATCCTTCAGTAATTAAGAAGTAATGAATTCCCTACCTAATGTTGATAAAATGTCAGTTACATGTAGCAGCTGGATAACAAACCACTAATTCTCTATTAACATAGAGCAATTATTACCAAAGGAATGTATTCATAACATTTAGCCATGTTCTTTACATGTAGTATCAGAGGAGATCTTTGATCCATGCATAAAGAGACAGGTTACAATGTCAGTTTTGACTCATGTCTTAAATTACAAAAGGCTTGTTGCTTGTCTGATATGCCCTGTAAAATGATGATGATGATGGCAGGTTCCTCGAGTTCAAGGATCAGCAGGAAGGTCATCCCGGTTGATATGCCCTCTGGTGACTGGGCAAGCCGATCCTTGATCTGCACACTCCACCACACCCTGGGCATGGGAGTTCTTGGGCAAGGGGGGCTCAGGGCTGCTGTTGCCTTTCTTCTTTTCCTTTCTCCTCTGCAACATCTCTTAGGGCCATCTCCAAGACCACAGCACCTCACCTTGACATTGCTGTCCAGATGTCCCTCTCCTTTGAGTTTCTTCCCAATCCTTTTCTGGGATCCCATCATACTGTAAAATATTTTGGCAAAAACAACCCTTACCTTAGCATCTCTTAACTCTGATGATGACCACTTCCCAGTTTTTCCTGAAACTTCATCAACAGACAACAGTCTCTTTCAGGACCAGGGTTCACCTAGGCTATACTTAACTATCCCACACAACTCTCATAGCTGTTAAAGTTTATACTGCTTTAAGTTTTTTGGAGACCTTATTTGATCAAGCTCCACTAAAGATTCTATGTACATTTCACTCCTCATGTTCCATGGCAAGATTGCTTTTGCCATGATCAGTAAATACAATTTTTTAATTAGTATGAAGTTAGTTTGTGTAAAAACCGTTTTTGCAGTTTTTGCTATCAAATGAAAAACAACATTATTTCATTTTATCAATTTATTAACCTTCAATTTCTTTCAAATCATACATTCACATTTACAAACTGATGTGGGTTTCATAAGATCTAAAAAGATATTACAACAAACCTTGTTTTCATGTCAATAGTCACTGACTTTGAAGATGACAAGTTTCCTTTTAGGTTGTTGAAATGTGAGTCAATGTCAGCAAAATGTCATTCTCAGTATTACTTTTACCTTAATTTAGACAATCAAACGTTACTCTTGGATTCAATTAGTTCTGTAAACCTTTGTTTGGAGTTCCAAATACATCATTTTGTTTTTTTCTTATATTGTAGCTGTTTGTGGGAGCCACTGCTTCCTTATCTTCCAAAGCGAGTCAGAGATAATTTAACCTTCAAAGAAACAAAAGATGAAGGTTTTGACTGGAAGCGTGAAGTAATCAAAAGGTGTCACAAAGATTTCTGTCAGTTTCTTTTGCTTCTTGTTTGGACTAAACTGAGTCAGTTATGGTATCAATTACACTGCTAATTGAATTTTTTGTACTCATGCAATGCAGATGTATACGTGCTAGGAATGAAGAGATGCTCAGAAAGCGAGGAGTTTCACCGTACACTGGCTTACAGAAAGATGCGTTTCATCCCCTTAGGTTTGTTTTTAAACAAGAGTAAAAAGTTAAAAGATAATACAAAGTGGTTAATATCGAAAATTCGACTCTTTACAGTAAGCGTTTGAAAGTAAGCTAGCATCAAAATGAACTTAACACGAGGCTAGCCCCACTTCCCACCTCACATAAATGAAATGTCTGTACACGCATAAGATTGTCAACAACTCTATTTTTTGTTACCCAGGTTTACTGACATTAGATGGAAGCTTTGTGTTACAGACACCTCTGGTAAGGAATACTGGCGGTCGTCCGACTGCAGCACTCTTTTCCAGTCTTCATTCTGTGTCCGCTGGTATTCCCTAAATCTACCACCTCTCTCGAGACTGAAGACACTTCAGGTGTTTTCTTTTGTGCCAGTTTTCTTTAACAGAAGTTGGAAGCCTCACTATGAAAGGTGATCACAATCGTTCATAGGGGTAAAAAGGGTTTGCTTTTTTAATACATGATTGAATGGTCATAGGCATCCGTGCGACAGTCACTTTGTCACTCGGAAACTCTCGGCTTTTTTTTTTTATTTTTTCTTACATTTATCTTTTTGGTAATAAGCAGGAGAGCTTTCATTGAAAGATGTCATAAGATAGGAAGTGTGAAGTAAGGGAGAATGCTCTTCTCGTGTAAATAAATAAATTATCAGGAAATCAAAATTTAACCTATGGATTCTGCGTAGTAGCCAGAGAATTCTCTAATTCATAGATATGGAAATTTGATTATTTTAAAAGCGGCTTATTTGTGATGTCATTCTCCTCAAGGTTATTGAAAACATCTTCACTTTCGCATCAAATCTTTTTTTCCTTTTTCAGTGCCACTACAAGATCTCTTGTCCTCCAATTTGATCTTCGCTCTAAAGGTGAGAAGCAACGTCTTCATGAGATATTTTAAACTAAGCAACAGTATCCGTGACCATTTAGTACAGTAACTACCTTGTTGTGGACAACCTAATAATAACAAAAAAAAAAAGCTTTATACTTAATTTCCCGTATAAGAATTTATTCTGTTTTTTTTTTTAATTGAAAGCTAGTCCTTCTAAGTCTCAGACTGTTTTATAGGCGTGTTGCTGTTGTTTTTTGATCAGGCTCCAGAATGGCTCTTTCACAAGCCACAGCCGTCAGTGGAGCTGGGATAATAACAGCACATGTGATATGTTCCTCCGTTTTAGCAGCTTGCTGGAGCGCCTCTTGGAAAGTAAGTCTTCTCTCCTGATCGGAGATAGCGCTCATACTTCACCTGAAAAGGTGTAGAATCATTGATTTGCTACGAGTATGGGTTAAGAATATTTGCATCACCATGTGTTGCAAGGAGTTATGTGATAGTCACACTCCAGTTGCTCCGAAAGCAACTTATTGAAACAAATTTAATATTTTTTTTGCATTGACGGTTTCTTTTTTTGTTTGTTTGTTTATTTTTTTTACATCTTACAGGATGGTGGGGAACTCGCTTTTCTTACACTTTGCCTTCATCAGCACAATCTGATTAAAAAAGTTCTTCTGGGTTCGCATTGCAGGTTTGCAATAAATCATGTCCTTTTATTTCCAAATTACATGTAATCTTATGTGTTTAGAGCTTGCCAAACCCGCCATAGTTTTGAGGCATAGCATAGTGGTCAAATGATAAATTGTCTCTTCCTCTGTGGTAGTTAGTACTTTGGACTTTTTGACCCAGCATTCTTCAATCGAGCTTTACAAGCCACTTGACAATTACATTCGCGTCTCAACCCATCCTCGTATCCAGAGGTAGTGATAATGCTCCTCTCGGACGATTTAAAACCCATGCAGAATAGGCAGCGGGGGGCGTTTTCTGCCCTTTGATGTTTATAGGTGGAGAGTGGTGGAGAGAAATTATCTCAGGAGCAATATTGCAGGGCAGTCAGTACGTGTACGTTCACATTGACTGAATCTCTCTCGGGAGTGTTCGAAGACATCATAAAGACATCATAAACGAATGAAACAGAAGGCGATGTTTAAAAATAAATGACACAAGAATACTTGAGAACAGAAATTTCTGTTACTTCGAGCTGGAGTCGAAAGAACGATTAAGGTTTTACAGGTCTCGTTTTTGTTCACTGATCAGCTGAAAACACGCCATTTACTCGACTATCTGAGACCGACACCCTGTCAATCGTGTCGCATTTGGCATCGATATTTTTCAGACACTTTTACAAAAACAATTCATGTGATTTTGCCTGTTAGAACCTTCATACCGTCAGCCCACGTGCCTGTTCCTGATGACATAGACCCAAAGTATGGTAAGATCACACCCGCATGAATAAATTTCTGTTTTTTTTTATACCTTTAACTCCCATGAGTGACCAAGACAGAATTTCTCTTTACAATATCAATACAATATCAAGCAGACCAGTGATGAGAATATAGAAAAATTTCAATTAACGGATTATTAGTTGATCCAATACCAAATTCTCAAAATCAACATCATTAAATTTGTATGGCAGACAGTAGAGAGAATTACCTATGAGATCTTGGAAGTAAAAGGGTTAAAAGGACAACGTAATCTGAAAGATGCATCTCGATGTTACACACATCTTTTTTCCGTTAACATGAGTTTTGGAAAAACTATTTCTCAAACTTGTAATAACCTCAAGAAGTATGCATGTATAATTTAGAATTAGGATTCATCATTAACAAAGAGGAAAGGTGTAAACTGCAAGCATGCCAAATGTGTAAGCGTTAGATTTACCCAATGACTCGATTCTCGATGGGAATTTGGTTTTTCCGAGTGATACGACCATATAAGTCGAGAGAGAGAGAGTACAATTAAAGGCTCAATTTCCCTGGAATAGTTATGTCAAAATTGTTGGCTGTTTCAAGCAGATCGCTAGTGTATCAAGGAGGATTTGTTTAACAGTAAGAATCATAGCTGAGCAAGAAGAGACCAGAACGCCATTTTGTTCGTGGTTAGTTAACAACATCGCCCGCTTGGTCTTAGAACGTGGCGTCACGCAAAGCGTTTTCTGATGGGGGAGAGACTGTGTTGCGTGACTGCGAAACTAAATAGCTGTTGCAAAGGAACCTGGCCTTGCACGTGTACTGACAATATGACATCTTTCTAATCAGGACTTCATGGATATTCTGCCACAATAGAACTGAGAAATCACAAAGCGACTTTCTGGGGAAGGCAGTACAGGGAACTCTACCAACGTGAGCAACTACACCGTAGAAAATACAAATGCATAGTTAAGATTGTTAAAATTGTTGGAGACCAGAATCGTTTAACAAATGATACAAGTATACTCAGTAAACAAGGAGGTCCGAGTTCTTCAAATTGGAGCTGCTGTTGATCCCAAGAAAAGTGAATTTTTTTAACCCCTGTTAACAGCGCTCGAAATAAATTTTCTCTCTAGTCCAGCTGTGCGTCACTGATAATTTGGTTTTTATCAACTGAGTTACTAATGTAAATTGGCCTAAAGCTAAAGTTTGGAGCGAATGACGAAGTGCTAGTGCGAGAAACTCTTTACGGTGGCCAATTAACGTTATCAACTCAGTTGATAAAGCATAATCATCTTATTATACCTCCCACCGACCCAGCGATACAATTTCTGTGGAAACTTATCACCTTTATTCACCTGTTCTTCACTGAGTTGTTTCCTCTCTCGGAAAAACTGACGCACGCGGCATGTTTAGTCACATTAGCAAACGCTCCACTTAAAATACGTGAAAGTATGAAAGCACAGTTTTCCTAAGTGACTTAATGGTTCCGTTTTATTGTTTTTTTCTTTAGGCAATTTTTCTCTAAAAATGGTTTGAATCCTGTTCCATAACTAATTATTCTTGTTTTTGAAACAGAATACTTGGCTGATTCTTACGTGTCCCTTGGAGGTGGCAGCCACGAACACGGTTCATTTTCAAGGAAGCTTTCACTTCCTTGGAAAACAGAATTATTCAAAAACGTCTTACCCGTGAGTGCTGAAGGCAAAGATTTTTATTTCTTCTTCAAAGGGACCTTGCACGCTAGATCGAGACGAAACACACTTCTTGTTCGCTATCTAGAAGCGCGCCATTTCGTCTGTTTTCTTGTAGTAAATTTGATTAATCAATCACCAGTGACCCGCCCTTCCTGTGCTTGTTATTACGTTTCTTCACGTTTATGAGACCAGAACTGATCCATGATGTAGCTCCTTCACTTTTTATGAGTTATGCTGTTTTGAAACCCTTTGTCTAGAGATAACCTTATTTCCATTTATTCTAGGATATGTGTTTCCTAGATGTGACTGTTCTACATGATAGGAAGCCTTTCTGGTGTTTCAGGTAAGCGAATCAGAGAATCACACCTGTTAAACGCAAAACACGCAACCAAAACGTAACCCACGCAAATCAAATACAAGATAATGATTCAAATACATGTTTAGTTAGTCAAATGCAATGCTAACGCGTCGAAGTTATGTAACACAAGTTAAACACAAGATTCAAGTCACCCGTGTCAAACGCAATGAACGTTGAACACAGATTGCGTCGACTGAAGGCAAACTACACGCGCACAAGTCAAACGTACACACATGCGTCGAAAGATTCTTGTAGCAAGCTGATCCCTTCGGCTTATTTCGCTGCCGACAAGATTCTTACTATGTTGTACAGACTTCAAAACTGATGCATTTACTCTGAGATTGTGGAGTGAAGTATATCTGCCAACGTTTTCCATGAACTCATTTTGCAGCTCGCCTGTAAAAGTTCTTATCAACAAAGTATTCGATGGTAAGTCTCTTCACTTACGTACGACGGCAGGTCACAAAGGTTTTTGACTTTGGTCATTGGTATGGAATTATAGACCCGATTTACAAACACTTTAAGTGCAGGCGTGAACAGCAAAACGTACCATCTCTTAATAACAAGGTAGTTTGGTATTATCGACTGAGTTTCAAGCGTTAGCCCTGCGTCATTCGCTCGGACGAAGGGCGATCACTCGAAAAATCAGCTTTGAAACTCTTAACGGTGGTCAATTTACGTCATCAACTCAGTAGATAAAACCAAATTACCTTGTACTCTCCCACTGACGCAGCACCACAGTTTCTGTAGAAACTTACCCCCTTCATTCATTTCTTATTAAATCCACCAGGAAAAAGAGAGGCATGATGTCCTCGAATAGAGAACCAGTGACTGCCCTGTTAAGTTTATTTAATACTTATTTTTCTCGCAGGTGATTTCACTTCAGAGGGAGAAAAACAGTTTATCGAATTCAGTGATGAACATGGTTCTTTAAGGATGGATTTTCTCTGGGTGAGTGTTTCGAGTTGTCTATATTAGCTGTAGAGATATACTGTTGCTGATTGTGAATTTACGCTCCTTTAGATCGAAGATGAGGAACAAACGCTTGTTACTAACGTTGAGCTACGTGTCTTGAAGTCTTTTGTAAACTTCTGGTTCAACACGGCCTATTGAAGTCAAGTAGTCTCGACCAGTCCCTACCCCGCAACTCAACACCAGTCTTCCTTGTCGATTTAGAGGAGAACATAAAGACCTAAAGAGAGGATGGTGATGTTTATCGAATCAGTAATGGCGCAGTTTGTGTCTTCTTGATCAAAGTTTGGACCCCCTATCAAACATTTCTGGATCTGCCTGGGGGTATCCTATGCGGTCGCTAACGTGCCGCTCATCAGTTAGAATCCCAACTGGGTATTTCTATCAAAGCTCTTGAGGCATCATTGGAAATGTCAATTAACCCTTCTAATAGTGTTTTACTGCAAGTATCTACGTTTTCAAAGATTTTTTTTTGTTTTTGTTTGAGTTTTGGAAAATACTGATTTTGTTTATTGGTTCTCCATGAGCTGATACTCAGCGCGTAAATTAACCAGTCAGAACACGGAATTTTCAATTTGGGTTTTTTTAGGGGTTTGTTGAAGGGGTTTTTTATAAAAAGGAAATAAGCACACAGATTTACATTACATTTTGGGTGACGGATTCCCAATATTTTTCTTTTTAGGTCAATAAATATTGTATGACACCCCTCGTTTTCTCTTAATCAAACGTTAACCCAGTGATAAGGTGGTCTGTCTTAATGAGGTCTACGTAAGTTCCATATCATCTGCCCCTTAGACGAGTAAAATAAATTTCACCCAAAAGCCACAGTTCACATAATCGCTTAGTTAGGTTGAAAGAATTAAAATAACTGAAAATTCCATAATTTGCGATTATTTTCAGTAGTTATAATTACTACAAAGCCTTAAAAATGAATCAATGGGGTCGAGT